AGTATGAAACCTCCAGCCCCCCTTGGGAGAGAGAGATGGGGAAGGGGCTTTCTACTCCCATGAAGAATTGCTGTCATGGAAACCCACAGGGGAAAAACGTCACTTTGAGTCAGCATCGATTCAGTGGCAGTTTTTAAAAAATTGTAACAACCAAATGTGCAGGTAACATTGGGGCGGGTGGGGGGTGGTGAACTGTGTTGATTACCAGTCAAAACGTGCCATGATTTTCATCATGAGGTGGGTAGGTCTCATTCAACAATTGGGATCAAATCCTCAGAATGATTATTGTGCTACCGTCAGATTTCACCTTGATTATGTCCTTGCTGGCTTAAACATGTAGGCTTGTCAGAAACTCCTCTTGACCCCTTTGTTTTCTGCAGACTGTTGATGCAAAATTCCTAATACAGTGTGCCATATATTAAAAAGTTCTTCCAGAATGACTTGTTAATCATTAACTTTGAGGAGTACATAGCGTAAAACTATTTTATGGGCCTTATTACTATGGTGTTATTTGGTTGATTTTCAACTCATACTGACCCCTTATGACAGTAGAACTCTCCTATGGGGTTTTATAAGCTGTAATCGTTATGCAAGCAGATCAGCAGGTCTTTCCCCGCAGAGCTGCTAGGGAGCTTCAAACTGGCAACCTTTCATTACAAGCAGAACAATTGATGAACTTATTACACCACTAGCATAAGAATACACATATGCCCTTTATTTCCTCAACTATTCTCCTAAAAAACTCAAAAAACCTTTTTATTGTAAGTCACGTGAAGATTACAGGACTTTTATAATCTTTAATCATTTTATTGGGGGTTTATACAACTCTTCACATTCCATACATATATCCATTGTGTCACGCACAATTGTACATTTGTTGCCAGCATCATTTTTAAAACATTTTGTTTATACTTTAGCCCTTGGTATCAGCTCCTCATTTTTTTCTCCTCCCTCCCTCCCCCACTCTTCCTCCCTCATGAACCCTTTATTTATTTATTTTTATATTACACTGACCAGTGTTTCACCCACTTTTCTGTTGTCCATTCCCTGGGCGGGGGCGTAATATGTAGATCATTGTGATCAGTTCCCCCTCTCTTCCCCACCTTCCCCTTCCCCTCCTGGTATCACTACCCATTATTGGTCCTGAGGGGTTTATCTGTCCTGGATTCCCTGTGTTGTAGGCTCTTGTCTGTAGTAGTGTGCATGCTTTGGTCTAGCCAGATTTGTAAGGTAGACTTGAGATCATGATAGTTGGGGGGCGTGGGGAGGGAGTATTAAAGAGCTAGAGGAGGAAAGTTGTATGTTTTGTTGGTGCTATACTGCACCCCGACTGGCTGGTCCCTTCCTTGTGTCCCTTCTGTAAGGGGATGTCCAATTGTCTACAGATGGGCTTTGGGTCCCCACTCTGTGCTCCCCCTCATTGACATTGATAGGTTTTTTTGTTCTGAGTCTTTGATGCTTGATACCTTATCCCATCAACACCTTCTGGTCACACAGGCTAGTGTGCTTCTTCCATGTGGGCTTTGTTGCCTCTCACCTAGATGGCTGCTTGTTTATCTTCAAACCTTTAAGACCCCAGATGCCATATCTTTTGATAGCCAAGCACCATCAGCTTTCTTTCAGGCACCACCACATTTGCTTGTGCACACATTTTGTCTTCAGCAATCATGTCGGGAAGGTGAACATCATAGAATGCCAGGTTATTAGAACAAAGTGTTCGTGCATTGAGGGAGTGCTTGAGTAGAGGCCCAATGTCTGTCTGCTACATTAATACTAAACCTATAAATATATATGCATAGATCTATTTCCCTATTGTTATATAAAAATATATTCACATATGTATATTCCTGTATTTAGACCTCTATAAACGTCCTTTGCCTATTTCTTTCCTCTATTTCTTTTTACTTTCCTCTTGTCCCACTATAATGTTTTACCTTCATTTGGGTTTCAGTAATTTCTCTCGGTTACATTGCCCTTGATCAAGTCCTATCAGGCATCCTGCACCCTCCTAGTCATCAGTTTTAGATCACTAGTCCCTGGGTTTGTTAGCCCACTTCCTTTCCCCCGTCTCCCCCTCTCTTAGGTTGCCCAGAACCATCAGTCCCATTGTTTTCTCCGGATTGTTTATCCTGCCTGTCTTATCTAGATAGACATGTAGAGACAGTAATCACAAAAACAAGACAGAGCAAAACAACAAGAAAAAAATGACCAAAAAAAGAAAAGCATATAAATAGTTCAAGGTCTGTTTGTTGACCTTTAGGAGTGTGTTCCGATTGAGTGAAGGGGTGCCACGCCCTTGCCAAAATGTCTATTTCTGCTATTCCCCGGGAACTTCATGGCCTTGCTCCCCATGCTGCTCTGTTGCACTCCATTAACATTTCACCCCGGTGTGGTGTGGTCAGATCGGGCACAATTCTTGAACTGTGCCTCCAGTGTTGTTCCTCAAATCGAAGTGGGTCAGTGAGGAGGGATGTCTTGTCTCGTGGTGCCAGCCCTGTGGTCCTCTCTCTGCATTGGGTCCTCTGAGCAGGAGTATTGTCCTCGGGGCTTGGTGGGTCAGAATGTGTTTCACTTGCTCCTTCCCTCTTAATTTGCTCCTTGTGTCCTCTGATCAGATGCGCCCCCTCCCTGAGCTGTAGCCTCAGTGCTATCCTCTGAAGTAAATTCTTCTGTGGGGCCGAGGGGTGTCCACGAAGGTGGGATTGGGGCCAGCCCTGGCAAGTCAGTTTTTCATTCAACAGTTCATACATTTTGTTCCATGTCATCGATTGCAATGCCTACAATTTAACAACCCTTGTCCCACTTCTCAACTGTTGTTTCCAGTTGCCATTCCTACTTTCCTAACCCGTCTGAACTTTATCTTTGAGTAAATGCTGCTGTTTTCATCTCGGATGGTTGATTATCCTAAGGTTGGTACCTCCCTCGTGTTATTGTTCCAATTGTAGATCTATTGTTTGTCTGAAAATGGAACCATAAGGGTGAGTTCCATTCCAGACTTGAAGGGTGACTCAGCCAGGGGTCAGGTTCTACCAGTTTCTCCCCAACCAATAAAACTGGTCTTCTGTGTAACTTGTTTTGTTCCACGCTTTTCCCATTCTCTCCAGAACCTTCTAATGTGATCTCTTACTGAGCACTAGGTAGTGGTAACTGGACATAAACTAATTCTTCTGGTCTCAGTCTAGTGGAGGTTGAGGTTTGTGTGGTCAGTCCATTAACCATTAGAGTAATGGTTTTTCTGTATCTTAAGTTTTTTCACTATCCTTTGCTCTAAACGGAGACGGCTGCACAGAAGTTTTTAAGACCCCAGTCACCAAAGTAGGAAAGATAGAGAATATTGTCTTTATGGATTCTGTTGTACCAGCTGACTCTGATGTCCCCTGAGACTATGGTCCTGAGTTTTATTTCCTCGGTGTTTGGTTTTTTTCTAAGAAGTTCTCAGTACTTCATCCCTGAATGTTGTACTACATTCAGGAATATATTTTGCTTCATTCCTAAAGTCATCCTGTCTGGTCCCTGCCCTCTGATTACCCACATCCTCTGTCAGGCTTCTCTTTGCCAACTGAAGACCGACGCTTGTCTGATATGCACACATCAAACACTTTAACTCTGATTTATTGGGTTTTGTTCTCTGTGTATGCCAAGAATTTTATATGTAAGGTCACAAAAGCTCTGAGGTGGAAATGATGCTTTACACCTAAAAAAGCAAAGGCCTAGTGAAATTACTAACCCATCTACTGTCATTTAGCTAATAGCAGCTAGGATTTAAACCTAGCTCTTTCCACTTGAGCGTGATATTTTGATTATCTGTAAAATGGTTAGGGAAAACTGATCAAAAGAGAAAACGAGAGAAGGGCCTTAAAAGTCAAAGCAATATTATTCGACTTTTCATAAACTTACGATAGTACTTATTTGCTCCAGAAGTCCATATTCTAGCTTCTTTTTCCTAAAAATTGCATTTTTAGGCTTTGGTAAAATATATATACAGTGAACCCTCGCCACTTCGCTCTTCGACTTCCGCGGCTTCACTGTCGCGGTTTTTGCGTAACAGCACATGCTCTGTCATTACTGCCACTGATTGGCTCATACTGTACACGCTTCTGTCTGCATCGCTACGTATCGGAGCTACGTATCAGATGCATTTTTGCTTTTGTACAGTGTACTGTAATTGTTTGCGTGTAATGGTGACTAAAGGGTGTTTTTTCATGTCCTCTATGCTCTACGAAAATATTTGATTTACAAATAAGGAATCCTACTTCGCGGAATTTCATTTATCACGGTAGGGTCTAGAACCGATTAACCGCGATAAACAAGGGTTCACTGTATATAGTCTATGAATCAAGCTTAAAAGTATTCATAATCTGGTACGTGAGTGAGCTTTTTTTCTCCGTTGTGTGGAACATCAGTTCATTTGGTTAAGACTATAAACCTCTGTCTTTTTTTCTCCCTGTGACCTAAACATTTCTTGCTGCCAGCCTTCCCTGTGCTATTAATAGTTAATCTGCTTACTAACTATTGAGACAATTGCCAGTCTATTTACAGTCTTCAAGAACTCAGATATGAGATGACATTTAGTATCTGCTCTTTGCAGAGTAGAGCTTGAAGTCCAGTACCTTACAGCCACCAAAATCCTTAGAGCTTAGTGACTTCGTTGTTAGTTTCAGCTGGCAGGGAACTGAGAGTAATCTGGCAGTGAAGTAAGTAATAAGAGAAGGAAGGGAAACTGGTAAGAGGGCTCAGAAAGGGAGTAATAAGAGATGAAGAGAATTACGTCGGGGATTGAAGGGTGAGTACAGGTAGGTAGGGTAAACGACAATTACAGAAGTGAGATGTGGAAATTAATCAAGCCTTATTTCTGGTATTTAGGTTTCTGGTATTTTGATATTTTGGTTACTAAATGATATGTCTAGTATTCTATGAAGAAGAGAGCTGAAATTAAGAGATTAAAATTTTAATAATTAAATAGCCAATGTTTTTAAAGTTTTCCTTAGCAGGTTCTGCACAGACTCACTAGATAGTGTTTTATTTTTAAAAAAGATTAACACATGCTGGCAAGACCATTGCAGACAAATGGTAAGCTTATTTGCTTTTATATTAATATTTTATATGTAGTACAATCCCCTGAATTTAATCTGTACTGCTCTTATTTTTGTGTTCATTTACATAATTTCTCGAATGTTGTTAAACTTCTCATTAAGCCAGACAGACTTAAATAGCCAGAAGTATTTGTCCTCTTGAAACTAATCTGGTGTATTTTTTTTATTTTATTCATTTTATTGGGGTCTTGTACAACTCATCATAACATCTGGGTATTTTTTGTTGGTTTGTTTTACTCAAATTATATTCTCACCTGTTTTCTCTCGCCTTCCTGTGGGCCAAATGTGAGCTGAGACATGAAATCTGTATTCTGAGTTCTATTATGAATCAAATGCTGTCGTCTAACACCAGTATAGTTAAGCTTTGAAGAATTAAGAGTACGGAAGGTTAAGCAACTTTGATGGCTCTTCTTGAATGGGGTTCATTAATCATTGAGCTCAGACCAGTAATGGAGTTGACAGAGGGTGACAGTGACGCATAGTCTCTACCTATACATTCTAGAATGAATCTCCAAGTTTCTACTTAATCCTAGTTACTCATGAAACCCAAATTCTAGAATTCTTGCAACTGGACCACCCAAGTGTTAGACTTTATAGATATATTATACTGTATCTAAGGTGACCAGATTTTAACATTGGTAAAGTGGGACACCAGTGATAAAACTCATATCCTGGCGAAATAGCCACATGGCAGCTGAAAACCGTATACCCTAGCTTGTCATGCATTTCCAAAAATCAGGACTTTTTAAAAACGCCTCAGGACACGGGAAAAATTGTTAAAAATCGGGACTGTCCCATCTGGTCACCTTAGTATATACTCAAGTATAAGCCAAGTTTTAAAACACATTTTTCATGCAGTTTTTGTGGTAAATTAGGTGCCTCGGCTGATATTCAGGTCGGTTTATACTTGAGTGTATGCAGTAATTTGATTTTATGTATGCAATGTGATGATGTGGTCTAGCAATTACTTAAGTGAGAGAAAAAGTACTGTTGATAGCATTCCTAAATACGTTAAATTCTTTTGGATTTATATGAGGCACGTAGGAGGCAATGATTATGACTGTGGCATGGAAATAATACTACTCTGTGATCCAGTATTTGAATGTCTTTTTTTTTTAATTCACAATTTCATTTACTTCTCAATTAATTTAAATCCTTAAGGTGTAAAGCATTACACAGATTCTATGTCCAGTGGTGGCCTTAGCAGGCAGGTTGCTTTGGAATATGGCCCAAACCATGCCACTGTTTCCATGGGCACACATAATCGTTTCCTAAATGACTCTGGTTTTCTAAGTTTGCTGCCAGGAGTCACTGTATTGTTGTTTGCTTTGTACACATAAGCACATCTCTTGCCTAAATAGAATTTGGTTTCATTTTGGGTATAAGCACCTTCAGTTTTTAAAAGGAGCTGTGTGCTGCCTCTGGTTCTGGAGACCCTGTTGATAGCCAACAAAAACGCCTTGAACCAGAGCTTATCAGACATATTTGCCAATTTAGAAGTCCTTTTCTGAGCAGCACTCCACAGGCTCTAACATGGTAAAAAAAAGAAGAAGAAGAAGTAATTGAATGTTTTGTTTACATGTATAAGCAGATCTATATAATGAGTTACAGTCATTTCAGTCATAGAAGTAGCAAGAGGTTATAGGGTGCTGTAGTAGCATAGCAAAGGGGAGGGACAACTTCATTCCTCACTATTTAATGCAAATAAAGGTAAACTTACAAAGTGGATATATGTATGTATGCACAAATATATATACATATACAAATAAAGGTAAACTTATAAAGTATATATGTGTGTGTACATACATCTTTATGAATCTTACAGTAATGTAATGGGAACTTTTTTTTAAGCACCAACAATGTAATATGATTAACCACAACACTGAGAAATAAAACAAAATATTTTAAATGTGCTTTAGGCTAAGTGTTTGAAAATATTTCTAGTCAAATTTGAATATCAAATGCCAAATCAAACATGAGTGCCCTGATGGCCAACATTTTTTTTAGTCATTTTACTGGGTGGGAAACATCTTTGCATCAAGAAATAAGTATTGTTGGGTTTGTTTGATAGGTCTGGCATAGTTATAGCCAAAAAGGCTAATCTTGAATATTTGTTTTTCAAAAATATGTATAAAATTATTTCTTTCTCCAATTTACAGATCATGATTAGAAGTATTTTCTTGTTTTTGGATCGTACTTATGTCCTTCAGAATTCTATGCTTCCTTCTATATGGTGAGTGGGCTTAGTCTGGTAGAGCTGTATCTGATTAATTTGTTGAAGCATATATTACCATTTGTGTCTCTATTTTTTATCTTGTGTTTTGTGTGAGCCAAAATCTTTAATGAAACTATTGGGGTCCAAGGTAGCTCTCTTAGACATAAGGTGCTCGTGTTTCCAGACAACAGATGAGGAATACAGGGTGTGAGGCCCAGAAGGGATGGGCAGGATACCCAACCAATAAAGAAGGTTCTTTAATGTGGCTAATGTACACTGAATTGCACAGCTAAGGTTTGGGGGGTGGGTGCTCCTGAGAAATCCCAAACTGTGAAGCAGTCAGTGGTATTCTGATTGTACATTGCTTGTAATTAGTCCAACTAAAATTTCTGTGCACGCCAAAATTACGGCTCTAAATCTGTAAGCAAAACTTACAGTATAACTTATATAAACTCTGCTTATAACATAATTAAATTATGCCACCTCTGTTCTTACACAAGAGACTGACAGTACAGTACAAGGGTAGGTCAAAACGTATTGCCACTGGGGGTTTTAGTTTTTGCATGAAGTTCATACAAAACATGTAAAAAAAACATGTCTCTACAATCCTGGGTGGCTGCAGACAAGTTCTTTCAGTAGTACACTTTTCTTAAGTCTCTAGTGTGTCTTTTTTAAAAAGACCAAGCAAAACACTGTCTTCTAAGAAGCCAGTTAAATTCAAGGCAGAATCTTATGGTTACAGTTTTCTGGGACTTCAAAGGGTTATTTTCTCTTAAGGGCATGGGGTTTGTGTTAGGAAGAACTTTTAAGAAACAACTGCATTTGTGAGACTGAAGTGAGGAAATTGGAATAAACATGTGGGTTTTTTTGTTGTTGGTTTTTTAAAAATATATACACATCGAAGAAAAGCCTAGAAAAACATTTTGTTTTCTCATCACAACAGTTCACTTGCTCTTTCTTTAAGGGGATCCAGAGATGTCCTATGAGAACGTTGTTGGGAAACCTTATCCAGCCACACTGCGGCCTTAATCTTGCCCCTTCAGAGGTCTTTCTTTTTTTCTTTCCCAAAAATTCGAAAATAATTTCAAAAGAACATGATTTGAAGACCTTCGAGTATGCCAAAATTATTTTGACTTGATGTACCATATATACTCGAGTATAAGCTGACCCAAATATCAGGAGAGTCACCTAATTTTACCACAAAAATGCATTAAAATGTGTTGGAAAACTCGCCTTACACACGAGTATATATGGTAAATCTAAGGGCATAGAATTCTTTGGAGAAGGGCAAGCGAGATGAAGCGCCACCCCCCACCCGCCCCTTTCAAAGTGTGTATTAGACATGGTTCTAAGATAGGTCAAGAAACAATAATTTCACATCTCGATATTCTTTAAGAAAGGTTTCTGTGATATTACAGCAATATTTTGTACTTATCTCTATATAATAATGAAGATTAAAGTGCATGTGAATTGTCCGTTTAAAAGCCCCTAACTCTTCTCTGAGACAAAGGTGAGGGCTGAGAGAGGAAGCCACTGAGTCAAGTCTACCTCATCAAGGGCCTTCCTCATAGTCTCTTATTCTCTACCAAGCATGATGTTCTTTTCCAGGGATTAGTTTCTGCAGACATGTTCATAATACCCTGTTTCCCCGAAAATAAGACAGTGTCTTATGTTAATTTTTGCTCCCAAAGATGCGCTAAGTCTTATTATCAGGGGATGTCTTATTTTTCTGTGAAGAAGAATAAGGTACACATTTATTGTTGAACAACAAAAAAGGAAATATATTACCTGTATACGGTACGGTAGTAGTTGTCATCACAAACGAGCATAACCAGATAAACTGAATCCTACAGTATCAAGAATTTCTTGTTACTACCATTATTTCCATGTACAACAATCTATGGTACCTATACTCTTTTATTCAATGGCAGTCATGTCATCATCTTCTGGAACATCATAACAATCCAAACCCTGAATTTCCTGGTGAATTTCTTGTGACTCCATTTCTTTCATTATCAGTGGGCCAAATCTCTGATGTTTAGCAAGAGCACTGTCCTTAAATGAGTACTTCTTGTCAAGGTAGCCTGCTCGTAGTGCATTTGCAACGCAACTGTCAGTGATTTTCTCCCATGAATTCTTCACCCAAGTCACAACCTCTTGCAGTTTAGGTTTCACAAAGTTTCCACGCTGATTTCTCTCCATTCTAATGTTCAATGTAGTCATTAATTTCCATGCACAAATTGCCCTTGAATGACTTGTTTATTGCAATATCAAGAGTCTGGAGATAGACCATCATTCCTGTGGGAATCATTACTTGGTCTATTTTTCTTTCATGAAGATAATGTCTTCATGTCTTTAGTGCGGTGAGTGCTGGCTGCATCCCAGACTAGCAGACCTCTTTGACTACCTCGCATAACAAGTGGCAGCATTAAATCGACCCACTTCCTTTTAACTGCTTGTGTGGCCCAGGCTTTTTCAGTTTCAAGAATAAAAATGCCCAAAACACATTCAATCTTTTCCTTCTTGCCCTTAGAAATGATTAAAGGTGGGATTTTAGTGCCATCCAGACAAATTGCCAAAATACAGGAAACACGTGCACTTTCGCAAGCAGTGGAGGGAATGTACACTGAGGAGGCACCCCACTGTTCAATTGTTGTTTGAGATGATTGGCCCATAAACACTGCGGTTTCATCCTTAGCAATCATGTTGGAGAGATTGTATTTAGAGAGTCAGCATCATCAGTAAAGGACATGAATGCAAGTGCTTGCTTAATAACTTGAGCATATTCCAGCCTAAACAATGTTGTGGATCTTCCTAAAGACAGTTCTCTTCGCTGAAGGAAATTATCCAGCCAGTGTTGTGATGCTTTGAAGTCTTCGGGGGCTATGTCAAACTGTGGTGCCATTGCAAGGGCAAATTCTTGAATCTGAGCCCTATTCACAACCAAAGCCTTTGCTCTCCTGTCAACAACCCATTCACAGATCAGGTCTTCCAGCTCGGAAAATAATGGTTGCCCACCTGATCCACACTTGCGCTTTTTAGCATTTCCCTGTCCACTTGTTCAATGAGGTTACCATACTCTGCTCGCCATTTTCGGACCAATTGGATACTTAACATCTTCTCTTTGCAGAAAGCAGTAAGATTTTGGCCCCAAGAGTCTTCCATGATTCCTTTCTTATACTCCATGGAGTAGCTTTTTCTTTTTGTGCTCATGTCTAGGGGTTAAAAAAAAATTTTGTAATCCCTTCTGATCCTGTGTCATTTTAAGTGATCTCCCGCCCCCGTTCCAGTGGACACTTCACCAGACATCCCCCCCTACCTCAGTGATGCCGTGGTTTCTTGAGCCGAGAGAATGAACATGGAACCAAACAGACATACACACACACAGACAATACAGGGCTGCAACACAAAATAGACACAGACAGAGACGATACAAACTGCAGCAGCCTCCACAGCCCGCAGTGCTATATTAGTTATGTACTAAATACTGGCAGTGTTCCCAGACAAGTTTGCTATTCCCACACTAGAATTTCTCATAGCCTTGAGAGTGAGTTCCATATCTCGGCCCATACTGTATGTTTACATATTACCAGGGAAACACTGTTTGCAGCTGCTTCCACAATCTCCTTACTGTTTGCAGTAAGGAAGCTGTTTATGAGAACCAACTAGGACAGATGTTTGCGTACTGTCCTAGACAGATACATAACACGAGACACAGCGCTCCTCTCATGGCTTCTTCACTCACTCAGTCACCCCTGTGTGTCCACACAATGTGCCCCACTCCTGCCCCGCGTGACTCACTGTCTAATTATGAGTCAGCCAGACTCCATCAAGGCAGAGCGAGCAACAGGCAGCAGCTTGTCCTGGCGGCTGGCATGGGCTCTCTGATGAAAAGACACCTCACACTTCCAGACTGCTCCGGCTGTGCTGCGGCCATCTGAGCTGCACAGCAGCACCTGCCGCTACGGTCCACAGTCCAGAGTTGGGTAGTTTGGGGGGGATGCCTTATATTTCAGCGAGAGGAAAAACTAAGTAGGATTTCTTTTCTGGGGATGTCTTACTTTTGGGGAAACACGGTACATGAGACAAAATCTTACCATCCTCTCTCCTAAAATACATTTTGATTACAGTTCCTCCAACGTGGATTTGTTTGTTTTTTGTGGGGTCCAACTCCATAGTCAAATGGGTCCTTAGGAGCAATGTGTGTAGTTACAGAAATCTCCGTAGGAGCAGTTTATTTAACAATAAGGCTTTGTAATAATGAGGCTTACTAGTCTCTTGTTTGTACATACAATGAAATAGTGTGTTAATCCTGAATATCCTGAGCCCTCTGGGGGGCCACTTCAAAGGGAGTGTCTGGCAAGTGAGAAACAGATGGTGTCAGTTGATCTTTAAGAATAAAAGACAAAAGCAGCTGAACTCCTAGAGATCGGGATCCTTCATCTGAGAAGCCAGGCATCTGTAGGAGACAGCTTATTTTGTGGAGGGTGGATGTGAAGAAGGGTCCTGAAGAGTATGTGCATTTGGCTCTGCCTATTTGTGCCTGTGGAGGCATTCCTCTAAACCAGTTGTTCTCCACCTTCCTAATGCCACGACCCTTTAATACAGTTCCTCATGTTGTGGTGACGTCCCCCCCAACCATAAAATTGTTTTTGTTGCTACTTCATAACTGTCATTTTGCTACTGTTTTGAAAAAAATCGGTTGATCCCTTGAAAAGGGGTTCAACCCCCAAAGGGGTCGCTGACCAACAGGTTGAGAACTGCTACTCTAAATACTAGTGCTGATTTTCAAAGCCCTGTTGTCACCAGTGAGGAGCTTAAGCTGCTTACACTTCCTCCCACAGCTCTTCAGTTTCCCACAGTTCTTCTGGAAGTCCACGGCATGTTCAGTATTTCTCACCCACGCTGTAATTCAGACGCATCAGTTCTTCAGTCTTCTAGACAGTCTTCATTGTCCAGCCTTCACATGCACATGATGCAACTGAAAATGTTGGCTTGGACTAGATATACCTTAATCCTCAAAGTGACATCTTTGTTCTTTAACACTTTGAAGTCTTTTAGAACAGATTTGCCCAATACAGTTGGTAATTGGATTTTGTGACTTCTGCTTCCATGAGCGTTGATTGTGGATCCAAGTAAAATTAAATCTTTGACAGCTTCCACCTTTTCTCTTTATCATGTTGTGGTCAGCATTAGACAGTGTTCTACTGTAATTCATAAGGTTTTCCGTGGCTAATCCTTCAGAAGTGGACCATCTATTTCTTCCTAGTCTGTCTGTGTCTGGAAGCTCTGCTAAAACCTGTCCACCATGAGTCACCCTGTTGGTATTTGAAATACCAGTGGCATTGCTTCCAGCTTCACAGCAAGACACCATAGTATGACAACCATGAAAGACAAGTGACAAGTGGTGGGTAGCAATTGTTGGCAGCCATCAAGTTGGCCCCCAACTCATGGCAGCTGTCAGACCTTGGTGTTCTAGACTGGTTTTTCACATGTAGATCAATGGACTTTTATTCTTAGTTGTCTTTGTCTGTAAGCCCCACTGACAGAGAGATGGTGGCTGCACTGAAGATGTATTGACTGGGATTTGAACTATTGCTGCTCAACCCCAGCTCCCTTAGAATAGTAATAGTAATAATAAACATTTACTAAGCATTGATTGATTATACACCTCGCACTGTCTTGAAGTATTGTACAAGTGTTAATACATTTAATCTCTCACAGATTTACATTAATACATCAATATTTTTGTGTAGTTACAGAGGCACAGGGAGATTTAAGTTCCTTGCTCAACATCATACAGCAAGCCAAGAAGTACAGCCAGGATTTAAACCCAAGCACATTTAACCACTCAGCCTGCACATTTAACCACTATAGTTTTTTAAATATAGTTTTGACACTATAATTGTTATTTATGGATTATAGTTAAATGAAAGGTCATGACGTGACATGTTCAGAAAACTTAAAAATGTTTATTACGGTTGCAGTGTGCAGTATATGGCAGAAGTGGCTGGAAATCTATCTTTTGGAAAGTGAGTTCTGAACCATAGTAACTCCCAGAAACCCAACATAGAACTTAACTGCATTGCATTCAGTACTGCCCCACACCTCACTCCATCCTCTTTCAAAATGCCAGTTCAGTGTCTCTGCATAGGGCCTCAGGCAAATGTTTTGTTTTGGTGTTTATTTGTGCTCCCTAATCCCGTAAGTAGGGTTAGACAGTGAAGGAGCTCGCAAAAATTTTTAAGCACTGCATAGAATGAGCAGAGCAGAGTGACTATATGAGATAGGTTTTGCAGACAGCTGAATTGCTTTCCTAAATGTAATTAAGAAAAAAGTTTAGGGTTTTTATCTGTCTGGTTTTTGTGGTAATGACTTGAGGAAATATGATGAACTGTTAGTCACATTTTAAATTATATTTTCCAATGGAATAAACTTAATATTGGAAGGTCCCGAGTTACCTGGAGAAATTTGGTAGATGAGGGCACATACTGGCAAAAGGGTAACAGACTGGAAAAGAAAAGAACACGGAGAGTCTCCTAAAAGGGGGTGGACTAAGTAAGGATAGTGATTCTTAAAATCTGTGGCAGGCATCTCTAATCACCCATGAAGAGTGGTGTGAACCATATGTTAAAGACAGCAGATTGCTATAATACACAGATCTCATTTTCTTTTTGACAGCTTAAGCTACGCCACAGAAAGCACATCTTTAAATAATTATAAAACATACTAGACTGGCTAGGGGTGGTGTGAGTAACTTGGCACTTGGGTCTAGAGAAATAGCAAATCAGCATTATCTTACGATGGTATAATATACTGGAGCTTCACCTAAAACTTGTGTGAAACTAAAATACAGTTTTCTGTTTTATGGTTTGTACAGGGATATGGGATTAGAACTATTTAGAAACCATATTATTAGTGATAAAATGGTTCAAAGTAAAACTATTGATGGTATTCTTCTACTAATTGAACGAGAGAGAAATGGTGAAGCTGTGGACAGAAGTTTATTGCGAAGTCTACTGAGTATGCTCTCTGACCTTCAGGTAAGTATCTTCTTTTCTAAGTCCACCAATAATATTTTTGTATAGTTTATAGAGGGAGATTTAAAAAAAAAAAAAAACATTGAATCCTGGCCAAATGTAACAAAGGTTTAAATATAACAGTGAAATCATGGAATGATTTTATAAAAATATAGAAGGTTGTTTTTTTGGTTTGGTTTGGTTTGGTTTTTTAGTTCAAATCCTGTGAGACTTAACTCCTAGTTTTAACACTAAACTAATAATCATAACATGAAAAGATTGATCGTAAGATGTAAAGAACTGCTGTAGACATAGGCCCAGTACTTCATAGAAAGGGGGCATTCCTTGAAACAGTTCACAGGAAAGCATTTTGCCCCTACACATGGGGCTTGCTTCACCGCCCCTTTGAATCTACTGCTAAAGGTTATTATTTTCCTCCCATCTGGTGAAATTTTACTTTAGACTTATCTATATGTCCTCTCCCCTCCCCTAAAATGAACAGGTTATTACTCCATACTAAAGAAAAGTTATTATACATACGTCTGTTTTTAAAAACTATTGTTTTTCTGTTCCTGGGGATTCGGGCATAGAGTAGAAGTCTGGAACCATGAATAAGTACAGCAACTGACGGCAGTCCATTGAGAATAATGTGCAAGGTCTTTTCTTTTTCTTTTTTTTAGATCATTTAATAGGGGCTTTTATAATTTCTTTTTTTTTTTTAGGATTCTTTTTCTTATAATTCTTGTTACAATCCATACATCAATTGAATCCAACATTTTAGTACATAAAGGCTGTTACCCAACTATTACCTACCAGCTAAAGGTTATTATTAGCAGGTGGGTATTAGTTTCAAACAGCCAGTTAATAGCAGGAACTGCAATGATGTTGAGTGGCATTTCTCAAGTAATATGTTTCTACAGTCAATAAGTAACCGCCCATCTCTTAGGTATATAAAGATTCGTTTGAAGTGAAATTTTTGGAAGAAACTAATTGTTTGTATGCTGCAGAAGGCCAAAGATTGATGCAAGAAAGAGAGGTAAGACTATACATTGTTTCTGAAGTGCTGTATTTCATTCCTGTGTCTTTTCACATGCAAACATTTCATTGAAAATCTTTTTAAAAGTTACCATCTACTGAAATCTAACTATAGTAAGAACTTAATTTTTGTTTAACTTAAAAACTTATTCCTCTTCTTCCTCCAAATAAAAAAGCACTAAGTTTCTAAAGTATGTAAAGAAACTCAAGTTTAGCAAGAATATAAATAAAATAGGTCCTCTCAGAAAAACATCGAGAAAAGTTAGTTACCTCAGTAAGGATATGAACAATACCCGAGAAATTGGTTATTAAAAATTTTTTTGTTCTTCATGTCACCAAAATTAAGATAAAGGAACTAATAACTGGGCCATTCCTGTGCATTAACAAGTGATATTTGGTTAACAGTTCTATAGTCCTCGTAAGACAGCCCCATGGATCTGAAAGACCAATGACTTAGAAGTTTCCTGTGTTGCCAACTGTAGAGACCCTTAGCAATTGGAACTGTGTATTAGGAAATCTCCAGAGGCTACATTGTGTGGTGGCCTCAATGAAGAGCCAGCTTATTGGGTTTTTCTTACTGATCCCAGCTGCTGCATTGGAGAAATAAATTCTTAATATAGTTAGATTTCAGTAGGTAGTAACTTTTCAGAAGATTTTCAGGGAAACATTTGCATGTGAAAAGCTTCTATACAGAGTGCCTATTGCTCACTTTTCTGTGGCACTTCATTGATAGAGGAAGAATATTATGCTATTAACCCGTTTCATTGTGGACAGAGCCCAGAATATTATGCTAACTTTATGTTAATTCTAGAGGTTAATTTTTATCTCCGGAGTGGAATTAAAATTATCTTCTATTTTATATTCTCCTTCACACACATGTACTTTTCCGTTTTATACGCTATGCCCCACCTATCACCTCCACCCTTCACCAAGGTAATCTGTGTTGTTTTAGGCTTGTAAAGAAAGTAATACACTGTATATACTCGTGTGTAAGCCAAGTTTGTCAGCACATTCTTAATGCCATTTTTGTGGTAAAATTGGGTGCTGCGTCTGATATTCGGGTCGGCTTATACTTGCATATATATGGTATTCCAGAATGAAGGGTGAGGATTGTTTATTTAATTTGTAATGAAACATAATATTTGAACTTCCTGGATATCTAAGAATCTTTATTACAGAAGTTTCTAAATGTTTTGTTTGAAAGGTTCCAGAATACCTTAACCATGTAAGTAAACGTTTAGAAGAAGAAGGAGACCGAGTAATCACATACTTAGACCACAGTACACAGTGAGTACCGTTTATTTAGTTTTTTGTAATTTCACTATAGCTAAAGTTTTCCCTTGCTAGTTACTGAAATAAATAGCATCTTAAAGGATTAATTCACTTTATCTAAAGGTATTTTTATTCTAACATGTTGCAGATGTGGTTTGTCATTATTCCGCTTTTGTAAATTAAAATTTTAACAATTGTGCTGTATGTTTTTGTCCAAAAGAAAGTAATTCGAGCTAGAATCTTGAGTTATTAGACAAAAACGAATTCTATTTATATTAATGGAATACACTTGAATATTGTTCCATTTTTATTTCACACTTTTTAATTAGACATCTAAACGTATCTATTGGTATTCAGTCATACTGTTTTTCAACCTAATTCTGTTTTTTCCCCCTCTAAACCTAAAGTTGATGAGTAGCTAGGGAAAAGAAAAAGGGGGAGATTATTTGAGTTTCTGTGTCCAGGTATGAAAATCATTCAGGTAGTAAGAACTAAGAACAGAGGTATAGGAGGAAAGGGCGATTAAAACAATAAACTCACGCCCTGTGGTTTGCTGGGGGCTGTTGTTCAAGTACAGCTTTCCAGTCGATGGCAATGGGCCAGAGCAATACTGTGATGTATGCATGGGGGCTGTTCCTTTTCAGCAGCCTCCATAGCCCGGTCACTGGTACATGGGGGAGCGGGGGAAAAAAAAAAATAGAAAACAATAAACTCTGCAGAACTTGTTGGTTTTATTGGTTTGTTTCGTCGTAGAAGGAGGGGGGGATAGAATAACATATAAGAAATGGACAAGGTTGTTACAGTTTGAAAATATAGAAAATTGAGAGGGCATGAGATAAAAGATAAATGTGCTTTTAGGTCTATTGAATTTGATGAGCTTATAGGAATCCTGATGAGTGAAGCCACAACAACATAGCTGAGGAATGATGTGGGAAATGCTCACACTTGACTGGTGCGTGGAAGAAGAGTTACCCACAAGAGAAACAAGGACAAATAGCCAGAAAGATACAAGAAGTCATCCCAGATAGAATGAAGTCATAAAAGTCAAGACTTTTTAAGAAGAAAATGATAAGCAGTGGCACACATTGCCAATAGGTCAAGTTAAGGACAAAATCATTGTTGCTTTTGTAAATATGGGTAACCCTTTTAACAATACCCATAGATTTTTGTAACCTTCCTTAGATTTTCATTCCTGTAAAAAAATTAACGAATATTTGAGGGTCTCCTGTATTTTTCTGTTAAATAGTATTTTTGTATACTATTCTTTATGTAAGTCAGATTCAAAATCAAGTCAAACTAGACCATGGACTTACTAATTAGAGATTTAGGTAAGAATAGTTTCAGGAGATCAAGGTAAGAATAGTTTATAGCATTTAAGTGTCATGGTCTTCTCAAGCCTCTAAGTTATAACATAATCATGACCACTACTACTACCGGCTTAGAGTGTTGAGCATACTTTTTAGGAGCTTTAGAATCTGCTCTGGAATGTTGTAACTGCAGTTCAGGTACCTTTGATCAAGTGACAGTAACACCATAATGTGAATGGCAAAACTTATCATAAGTGCCAACCACCAACAAAGCTTGAGATAATCTGCTTTTTTTCTAAGATGTGCTTGCTTTCTTACTGGCCTCTTTTTCCACTAGAGCTATTGGTCCACTTATGAGGGTGTTCCCCCTTAAAAAAAAACAAAACCAGAAATGAGTGGAGCTTTTGTAGTATGCATTCCCTCCACCTCCACTCCCCAGCCACTTGCTCTGAGTTAGTGCACCCAGTGGCATCGCTGGGAAGGTTCTCTCTGGTCACAGAATTTTTTTGTAAAAGCAGTTTCGTTCAAACCTCGTTTTTTGTGATGGCCGATGTGAGGCTGTAAAAGTTTGTTTCCTACTCAGGAAAAATGCCTCAAACTTGTGATATTGAAAACAGCTTACAAGGACAGCACTGTGGGGAAAACTTAAGTGTACATCTTTTCTAAAACGGTGAAATGTTGATTGATATCTAACCTTCTCCTGGGTGTCCATCAACTTCCTCAATGGATGAATATGTTGACTTGTAGTGCATTTGGAGTTTGGGAGTTCGTTCTACCAGCTCAGACTGTCAGTAAAGTTTTCTATTAAGAGATTCTGTGAAGCATATAACTTTCCTCTAGTTCTTAAATGCTTCCTCCTCCCCTCCCACAATATCATGATCCCAATTCTGCCTTGCAAATCTGGCTAAACCAGAGGATGTGCATTGGTACAGATAGCAACTTGAAACACAGGGAATCCAGGATAGATGACTCCTTCAGGACCAGTGGTGAGAGGGGTGAGGCCTGGAGGGTGAAGGGAATGTGGGGTAGAAGGGGGGAACCAATTACAAGAATCTAAGTATAGCCTCCTCTCCTCCCTGGGGGATGGGCAGCAGATAAGAGGGTGGAGGGAGACGCCAGACAATGTAACTTATGACAAAACTATAATAATTTATGAATTGTGGAGGGTTCATGGGGGGGGGGATGGGCAAATGATATTAAGGGCTAGAATGGAGGGCAAATGTTTTGAGATTGATGAGGGCAACAAATGTACATGTGTGCTTGACTCAATGGATGTAAGTATGGACTGTGATAAGAATTGTACGAGCCCTCAATAAAATAATTTTTTAAAAAAGAGATTCTGAAAAGATTGCAAAACATTGTGCAACAGAAAGGCCTGATTTGTGGCAGATGGGGGACTGGTTTTGCAACCACGACACCGTACCTACTTACGTAGCCATCTCAATGCACCAGTGTTTGGCAAAAAACTACATGCCTATCTTGACCTTGACTACATACTCACTTGACCTTGCTCTGTGCGATTCTTTTTGTTTCTGTGAATGAAGAGGGGCATGACAAGACAGCAATTTGACAACATAGAAGAAGTGAAGAAAAAGTGAGGGAGGTGCTGTCAGGCATCAAACAGATGAATTTGAAAAAATGTTCCCAAAAATGGAATAGCGGAATTAAAAAATGTATTAAGTGTAATGGAGAATGCTTTGAAAGTGATAAGGTTGTTTTGTGTAAAAAAAAATTTAAATTCATAGCTTTGGGGGGGACAATTATGGGGGGGTTGGTGGGTGCCTCCTCATATGTTACTCAATTTGTAAAGAGTCGATTGTTTTATTTCTCATTCTTGCTCCTTTTTTTTCTTTTTTTTTTTTCTTATATAGAAAACCACTAATTGCTTCTGTGGAGAAACAACTATTAGGAGAACATTTAACAGCAATTCTACAAAAAGGTAAATTTTCCTAACTGAATTAAATGGAATGATAATCCTTTAAATCACGAAGAAACTAAATGAAGCATTGTAAATTACAATTTAAGAGTATTTATTATTTTAATAAAATTTAAAAGTATTTTCTAATAAGCATTAGTCACTGGGGAATAAGGAACTATAGAGTGTTAGTTTGTTGTTGTTTTTTAATTGTGCTATGTGTGGTAGAACTATTGTTTACTGCTAAAATCACTTTTTTTTCTTTCTTGAACTGAAATGTACTAAGATCTTCTAGACCAGCCGTTCTCAACCTGTGGGTCCACAACCCCTTTTGGGGTTGAACGACCCTTAGACAAGGGTCACCGATTCATAACAGTAACAAAATTACAGTTACGAAGTAGCAACGAAAATAATTTTATGGTTGAGGAGTCATCATAACATGGGTGACTGTATTAAAGGGTGGTGGCATCAGGAAGGTTGAGAAACCACTGTTGTAGACTGTAAACATATTTGAAATGTGAGTGCCAAGTTAAAGGTTCTTATTGTACAAATGGCTTTTTAGCTTGACTATTTACAGTAATAAATATTGTTATCCTTCATTATCATTTATTGTGCAAACAAACAATACAGGCAATGATCAACGTGCTTTTACTGATACAGATAAGCATAGGTATTCAAAGTGATTACATTTCCACAAGAATTTAGTGGATTAATGACTAAATATTTGGCTCCCTAGAGTCAGACTAATTCAGACATTGGTGTTTAAGACTGAGACTGCTTCTTGTATCATATGCTTTCCAAGTTAATAGTGATCTTTTCACCTCAGTATAGATCCTTTGTTATTTCTAGCCTTCGAAAACGCTCTAAGTTCTCTGAACATTGATTTCAGTGAGCACATCTAACCTTTTGTAATACTGTTGGACTTTAGGTAGCTTTTTAGTATTTAACATTAACCATTTGAAAGTTATTTTAAAGGTCTTTGGAAATGTAATTCTCTTCCAAGGTATTAGAAAATAAAGTTTCATTTTAGCAGAGCCCCTAAGTATGACTCAATGAGTGGTTATGTATTCGGCTGCAGTGTTGAAGTTATTAGTTCCAAACCACCAATAGGTCCATGGAAGAAAGATGAGACTTTCTGTGTACCCATAAGGAGTTACAGCCTTAAAAATCCACAGGGGTGAGTCTATAGGCTTGCCTTGTAGGGTTGCTGTGAGTCAGAATTAACTCAACAGCAGTGAGTTTGGCTTTGGAATTACTGCCCAGATATATTTTGCCAGATAATAATATTATCCTGTATTATTTAAAATTAGGGCCATTAAGTTAAACCAGAAAGCCAAAAACCAAACTTGTTATCATTATTTCACTCCCAACTCATAATGACCCTATAGAATAGAATAGAAATGCCCCTGTGGGTTTCTGAGACTTCAACTCTGTACAGGAATAGAAAGCCAACTCTGTACAGGAATAGAAAGCCTCCTATTTCTTCTGCAGAGGGGCTTAGTGGTTTTGTAGTTAACCACCCAACTTGTAACCCACTGTGCCAGCTAGGCTCCTATTAAGTAAACCCCAAAAGAAAATTAACAGTATCGAACACCTGCGGTTGTAAACTATCCAACTTTGTGTTAATAGCTTTTAATCTTAGAACAATCCTGTTATTTTTTTTTCCCTGTGTTTATCTCCATTTTTAAAAGTAAGAAAACAGGGGTGCAAAGAAAGCCTTGGTATAAGTATTTCAAATCACATAGCTTTTAAGCTCCAGAGTCATGATTCAAATCGGGATATGTTTTCCACTATAGCACACTGATATGTATACAAACGATTCATTTTCACATAAGTGAGGTCTTCATTTACTGTCCACCATAAAAATAAAATGCATTTAGAATTTGCCTCAATTTAAAAAAAATAAGTCACTTTACAAGAAAAAAGATTTTAACAGATTAAATATTTGCATAAGTTATTTCAGCACACACTTTGATAAGCAGCTTTTTAAAAATAGTAACATGTTAAAGTTCTAAATTGTGTTATTCTAAATTGTATTAGAAGCATCGTAAAGAGGTAGCTTTTATTAATATTGTAAAGAAGACATTGTTTAGAGTTCCTATAAAATTAAAAGTTATTTAATACTCTATAATAAAAAACTTTTAAAATTAATTTAAATGAAAATATAATTTAGAAAAGTAACATTTGGAGGTCTAGCTAAGGATTTATAATTGTAATTTCACCACCACCATGCATTTTAAAATTAGATCTACTTCCTAATGCAGCTATAATAAATTAATAAACTGCGTTGTTAAAACAGCAGTTTTTATACAAGAAGTTTAAGTTAAAGTGTTCACAGGTTTCTTCTTCCAGAGGCTCTGAAAGACAGACATCCTCTGCCGCTCTCCTAACGTCTAGTGGTTGCCTACAATCTCTGGTATCCCTTGGCTTATCAGTCATATTACCCCGTCTTCACTATGTGTCTCTCTGGTCCTCTCCTTTTCGTATAAGGACACTCGTTATTGGATGTAGGACCTTTCTTAGTCCTGTATGACCTCCTTTCAACTAATTTTATCTGTAATGACCCAATAAGGGAAGTTCAAAATGGTCATGCCCATCTAGGGAACCCTGTTCAGCCTACTTTAGCACCTTAAATGTATAGACATAATGCCCATTTTACACAAGAGCCTGAAACTCTTGGAAAGTAACATGACTAACAGCTTTTCTTCTCTATTGTTAAAATAAAGCAAATACTATATATAATCGTGTATAAGCCGAGTTTTTCAGCACATTTTTTAGGCAGTTTTTGTGGTAAAATTAGGTGTCTCTGCTGATATTTGAGTCGGCTTATTCTTGAGTATATACTGTATTGCGAAAATCTATAAAAGCTCTTTTGATTAAGGTGTGGTTTTATAAAATCTTTGTAAAATTTAAATACTTTAACAGTAAAAACTTAAAAAGCTATGTTGAATACTTTACAATATCTGTTAAACAAATATTTTTCTTAGTTTATAATATATACAAATGAAATTAATAAATTTAAAAATGGATTTGATAGTGTGTGCTTTGACAGATAAGTTTTGTAAGTTAGAGACTAAATCAGCTCTAATCTAGGACTCATTAGCTTCCCAGATTAAATAATTGGGGGGGGGTTGTTGTTGTTTTCTAGATTAAATAATTGTATGAGCATCTTTCAGATTATTGCTTCTTTAGTGAAATAAGAAGCTTTTAGAGACTTAATAGTAAATACATCTCCCAACATACATAGGAAATTAGGTTCACCAAATAGCATCTATCTCATAATGAAATAGGCCACATGTATAGATATAATTCAAGTGTTATGCATACTCCCTCAATTTATAAATTATATATCAACATTTATTGAAGCATATTCTATTTTTTATTAATGTTGACTTGCCAGTGTAATATGTTAACATTACTATATAATTTCAGGGCTTGATCATTTGCTTGATGAGAATAGAGTACCTGATCTCACACAGATGTACCAGTTGTTCAGTCGGGTCAAGGGTGGTCAGCAGATACTACTGCAGCACTGGAGTGAATACATCAAGGTATTTCAGATTTTTGTCTTACTGATAATTCTACTTGTACTTTATACAAGGGAAATAGATATTCTGTCTTCAAAATACTTGTCTACCCTGGCCACGGAACTGAACTGAAGTATCTTTTGTTCTTTGATCACAAATATTAAAGAGGACAGTCATCTTTTTCTTTCATGTTATTTCTTTAAATATGTCATTTTATTCTTTTTTTTTTTTTAAGATAACACCAACAATGCTAAGTAACATCCTGTATGTAACTATAAAAACTGCTATTTGGGCATTCTTCATCAGCATAAATATTAGTTTAATTCTATAGTCATGGTTTTCAAATCAGCTTTTCAGGTTGGTCTGCATCCTGTTCTATTTCATACCAAACCAAATATAAGACATTGTTTAAGCTTAAGTTTTCATGTATTAAAACTTTTCCCCCCTATGTACCAAGGCATGCTTACTTCAGTACATAATACAAATGCTTTTTGGGTATTGTATTTCAGTTTTCATGTATGGTTCCCAGTAGAATTGTATGACAATCAACACTACCACAGTGCTAACAGAGGATCTTCCTGATGACCTGTGATTCTCAACCAAAGACACTTTGACCCACCACCATCCCCCATGAGACATTTGGCATTGTCTGGTGATGGTTTTGGTTGTCACAACTGAGAACATGGTGGAAGTATCGGCAGGTAGAAACCAGAGATGCTGCTGCAATGCATAGGACTGCTCCTAACAACAAAGACGTTATCTGACCCAGAATGTCAATAGTGCCAACATTGGGAAACTCGGTATCAGTGACCCCATTTGCCATTTAATGATAGATTATTCTGCTGATAATACTGATGAAATGGTGAAAACAACATTTTAAACCACCACTCATTTATACATAACTAGTCTTTTAATGTGTTTCTAGTTTTAAGCATTTTTCTAGAGAAAGTTTTTCACTTTAAACTGTGGACAGCTATCAAAAGCTTTGGTGTTTTTCCTTGTTGGTGACTATTGTTAAAGCCCAGAATAAAAAGAAAGATGCTTGGGTAATGTGTAGTGGTCAAAATACTTCGCTGCTAGCCGGTGGCTCTGCAGGAGAAAGCTATAGTCTGCCCCATGATTGCAACTGATAAAACCCTATGGGGCAGTTTACCCTATCTTGTAGGGTTACTAAGTCTAAATAACAACAGCAACAAAAAAAGTAAAAAGATAAATAAGGCCTCCAGGAAATTATACTGAGGGGAAAAAAAACAGCCCCAAAAGGTATATACCATATGATTACATTTATGTAATGATTTTGAAATGACAAAATTTAGAAATGGAGGGCAGATAGTTATAAGGGACTTAGGGATAGGTAAAGAGAAGAAGTAGGCGTGGCTAAAACAAGGAAATGGGGGATCCTGGAGGTACTGCAGCTGTTAAGTATCTTGACCTTCCTTGTTGGGTACATGATCTTCTGCAGATGATGAAATTGTCTAGAGCTTAATATATGTACCAGTATGTCTGAGTCAAACTGGGGAAATCTGAATAGGATTATTAGTAGCATCAATGACGTCTTGCTTAAGGTACTGTACTATAGTTAGGTAAAATGTTACAATGGAGGAAGGAAACTGGGCAAATGTACAAGGGATCTCTGTATTTTTTCTTATAAATGTAGATGAATATAATTTTCTTAGTAAAAAATTAAATTAATTTTTATTTTTTTGAATCATTTTATTGGGGGACTCTTAACAGTTCCTATAACAATCCATACATCAACTGTATCAAACATAATGTAATAATTACAGATATAAATAGAAGGTAAAGACACGCTGTTTATGACTAGAAATGAAGTAGAAAGAAAATGATAATCACGAAATTAAAAGGGGAAACTTCAAAATGTTCATGGAAAAATTCCATTATTTTTTATCCATTTTTCTACTTAAGTGTTTGAGGTCCCCTCTAGATGTAAGGCACCTTTTCAATATAGATCAATATTCGTATGCTGTTTCAGGGCTAAATAAGTATGACCTAGTTCAGTGTATACTGAAGAATGTTCTGTAAAATTCTAGTAGGGTAGCGTGTCACAGACATACTAATCTTCATCAAGAAATAAAGTGTGCATTCTTTTAAAAAGCTCTTCCTATAGTTAGGAATATGCATCCTTGTTTCATTCCTAATCTTTTGAAATGTACTTGGCCACTGAACTGCTCTGTGATGGGTATGCTTATTAATTTGTCATAAGAATTTATGCATAGAGAAGATCTTAGAAAGGAGTAGACATTTTCCCAGTAACTTAAAATTATTTTACATATAATAATGAGAGTAGCTCATATTAAACTATTATGACTGGTGGTGGTGTTAGATGCTTTCTTGTCAGTTCTAACTCAACAACCCTGTGTACAACAGAGTGAAGTACTGCCCAGTCCTGTATATCCTCAATTGGTTTGTTTGGTTTTTTTTTTTGGGGGGGGGGACGTTAATCATTTTATTAGGGGCTCATACAACTCATCACAATCCATACATATATCAATTGTGTAAAGCACATTTGTACATTCATTGCCCTCATCTTTTTCGAAACATTTGCCTTTTATTTGAACCCTGGCATTAGCTCCTCATTTTCCCCCCTCCCTCCCCACTCCCCGCTCCCTCATGAACCCTTGATAGTTTATAAATTGTTATGTTGTTATAGACTGCTCCATCCCACGTCTCCCTTCACCTACTTTTCTGTTGTCTGTCCCCCAAGGAGGAGGTTGTATGTAGATCCCTGTAATCGGTTCCTCCTTTCCACCCCACCCTCCCTCCACCCTTCCGGTCTTCAGTTGTTTTTGTGTTGGAGCCTATTTTACAGCCAGTGTGTTGGTCCATCTTGTTGAGGGTCTCCGCTTTCACTGCCCTTCTATGTTACCAAGCATGATGTCCTCCCCCAGGGATTATTCTCGTCTGGCAACATGTCCAAAGTACGTGAGACAAAGTACTTGCCATCCTTGCCTCTAAGGAGCATTCTGACTGTACTTCTTGCAAGACAGATTATTTGTTCTTTAGGCGGTCTATGGTTTATTCATTATTCTTCACCAACACCATAATTCAAATACATCGATTCTTCTAAGGGCCTCTTTGTCTGGTAACAGAATTTTGGGTATCATAGGTTTGTTGATGATTTTGTATGTATTTGCTTTTATAGACTTTTGGAACAACAATAGTTATCAATCCTGAAAAAGATAAAGATATGGTGCAAGACCTCCTTGACTTTAAGGATAAAGTGGACCACATCATAGAAGTGTGTTTTCAGAAAAATGAAAAATTTATCAACCTGATGAAGGAATCCTTTGAAACGTTTATCAACAAGCGACCAAATAAGCCTGCAGAATTGATTGGTAGGAAAAATATATTTCTATAATTTTTTAAAATATGGAGTATAAGGCAAACTTGCAAATTTATTCCAAAGCTGTTTAATCCCATCATAGGAAGGGGGGTACAGAATTTAGCTCTAACCTTATTAGGATACTTATTCATAGAAAGTCAGGGAGAGAAAGCAAGAACCAATCACAATGATTGACGTACACACACACACACACACCCCAGGGGGACGAACAACAGAAATATGGGTGAAGAGAAACAGCAGACGGTATAAAACATGAAATTAAAAATAATTTATAAATTATCAAGGGTTCACGAGGGTGGGAGGGTAGGGAAGGAGGGGAAAAGAGCTGATACCAAGGGTTCAAATAGAATGGAAATGTTTAGAAAATGGTGGTGGCAACATATGTACAAATATGCTTGATACAATTGATGTCTGGATTGTTATAAGGTGTAAGAGCCCCAATAAAATGATCTTTTAAAAATAAAAGACTTTTAAAAGCCCCCCCAATAAGGTGATTTATTAGAATTAAAATAAAAAAGAATTTTACACAAGGAAAATCATACAAGCACCTGTATGCTTAAAAATAAATGGTATTTACATGAGGGCAAATGTAATAGTAATCTTGTAAAGGTTTACTGTACTTCTTTGTAGTTTGTCCCTTAGAAAATTCGTATTTGTTGAACTAGCAGCTTCAGAACTATAGTTTATAAAGAGTAATTATAATTCTCCATCATAATTAGAAGCCATTAGTTCCATGAAGAAACTGGGTTGAGAAAACTTTGATATACATAAGATAGTATTCATCACCATCTTTGCATCCTCCAATTAGTCTTAAAATAAGATAAAATTGAATAAGATCTGATTTCAGCAGCTTTGAGGTCCAGGAGATTCCGCCAGACCATGGTCATCAGGCCACTTCTTGGACACCCAGAAACTTCTCAGTAAATTAGTTTGACACACCAAAAAAAGTAATTGAATGAGCTCTCAAAGATGGCATTTTAAAAAATTGGACAGACAACGAGCACTCTAACTCCATGAGAATCAAAGAGGACCTAGAAGATCGGAAGGTTCCTTAGAAAACCTCACTCACTCCCATCAAGTCAATTCAGTCACTTAATGGCCCTAGGGGACGTAGTAGAGCTGCCCTTCTGGGTTTCTGAGCCTGTAAACCTTGGGAGGCAGTTCTGCTTACCACTATTATCACCAGCGCTGGAATAGAAAACCTTGTCGCTCTCCCTCAGAGGGACTGATGGTTTCAAACTGAAGCCCAACTCATAATCTGATGTCACCAGGGCTCTTCCATTAAAAAATAGTAAGATGAACACTGTTTTTAAATTGTAGCTTTGTGCTCGCTTCGGCAGCACATATACTAAAATTGGAACGATACAGAGAAGATTAGCATGGCCCCTGCACAAGGATGACAAGCAAATTCGTGAAGCGTTCCATATTTTAAAAAAAAAAAAAAATTGTAGCTTTGTATGATTGTTTTATGATAGTATCAAAATATATTCCAAGATTTATGGAAGTCTACTAGCCAAATATTTTGCAAGTTCATAGGAGGCTAAGGGCAGTGGGAGGTGTAAGTGAATGATAAAAGATTGGACATACATTGATTATTGTTGAAGATGTATAATGGGGACATAGAATTCATCATACATATATTTACTTCTCTGTCTAAAATTTCTCATTAAAAATTCAAAAGAAAAATATAGGTGACCCCTGAACAACACTGGTTTGAACTGCTCAGAACCCACTTTTATAAGTGGGGTTTTATAAGCACAAGTGTTGGAAATATCAGCTTAAAGCACCGCCATGTGCTGCTAATCATCCCAGAATGCAGAGATAATAAGTGGCTCGTGGCATTTTCTTTATTTTTTTTAAAATCATTTTATTAGGGGCTCATACAACTCTTACCACAATCCATACATACATCATTTGTGTAAAGCACATTTGTACATTCATTGCCCTCATCTTTCTCAAAACATTTGCTCTCCACCTAAGCCCCTGGCATCAGCTCCTCATTTTTCCCCTCCCTCCCCGCTCACCCCTTCCTCATGAACCCTTGATAATTTATAAATTATTATTTTGTCATATCTTGCCCTGTCCGATGTCTCCCTTCAGGCCTTCACCCACTTTTCTGTTGTCCGTTCCTTAGGGAGGAGGTAACATGTAGATGCTTGTAATAGGTTTCCCCTTTCCAACCCATCCTCCCTCCACCCTCCCAGTATCACTACTCACACCACTGGTGATCCTTAAGGGATCATCTGCCCATGATTCCCTGTGTTTCCAGTTCCTATCTGTACCGGTGTACATCCTCTGGTCTAGCCAGATTTGTAGGGTAGAATGGGGATCATGATAGGGAGGAGGAAGCATTTAGGAACTAGAGGAAAGTTGTATGGTTCATCATTGCTACATCGCAGCCTGACTGCCTCATCTCTTCCCTGAGACCCTTCTCTAAGGGGACCGGACCCTTCCAGTGGGTCTACAAATGGGTTTTGGGTCTCTACTCCGCATGCACCCCCCCTCATTCACTATGATAAGATTTTTTGTTCTGATGATGCCTGCTACCTGATCCCTTCAACACCTCGTGATCACACAGGCAGGCTGCTGTGCTTCCTCCATGTGGGCTTCGTTGCTTCTGAGCTAGATGGCCGCTTTTTTGCCTTTAAGACTCCAGACGCTATATCTTTTGATAGCCAGACACCATCAGCTGGCTCATGGCATTTTCATCGGATATTTGCAACACTTGAGCTCACTCCAAGAGAAGCAGGAAAAAAGTGTAGTGTTATATGGGCCCCAAGCAGTTCAAACTTAAGTTGTACACTGTTCAGTTATAAATTATAAATCTGATTTTTTTCATAACTTTTTTCTTGTATATTAAGTGATTGTTTACATTTCAAATTATGAACTTTGCATTCAATTTGAATTGCTAATGAAACCAAACAAGAGTATATACTCAGACTTTTGACTGCATGGGCTATTAGTATCCTTAAACTCCGTATTACTCGAGTCAATTGCACGAATAAAACAAGAAACTCATTCACAATGCAATTTAATTTGACTTGTTCACCCATTTAATTATGATTTCTCTAAAACAAGCCTAATATCACTTGGGAAATTTTGCTTCTGAAAGTGTTGTGGTAAGGTGCACTCAAGTTTAATTAGACTCATAGTGACCCTATGGACAACAGAAGGAAACACTGCCTGGTCCTGCGCCATCCCACAGTTGTTCTTATGATTGGCCTATTATTGCAACCACTGTGTTAATTCATCTCGTTGAGGGCCTTCCTTCTCTTTGATCACATGCTGCTTTACCAAGCATGACGTCCTTTTCCAGAGACTGGTCTATCCTGGTAAAACCTCTGAAGTACTTGAGACGAAACCTCGCCATCTTTGTTTCTAAGGCACATTCTGGCTGTATTTTTGCAAGACAGATTTCATTCTTTTTTAATCTGTGCTATTTTCCGTATTCTTCATCAGTACCATAATTCATTGCATCGAATCTTCATTCTTCCTTATTCGGCGCCCAATTTTCATATGTATTTGAGGCGGTTGAAAATTCTTTGGCCTGCTTGTGGGGCTTAAACAAGGGCAATGTAGCAGCAAGGAATTACTAAATCCGAATGAAGGCCGAACATGATGGTGAGGCATGAAGAAAGTAAAAAGGAAATAGAGGAAAGAACCAGGAGGCAAATGACATTTATAGAGGTCTAAATACAGGCATGTACATATGTAAGTAAATATATATATATATATATATATATATATATATAT